ACCAAGGTATCCTAATTTCAAGTTCATTAATCTACTTTATAGCACAAGCCTATCAACTTTCTGATAATACAAGGAATACCTTCCCTGCTTAGCTTGGGGTACTTTGTTTATTCTCCTCTTCTGCCTGACATTTCTAAGAAAATGTCTCCATGTCTCACCACTCAAATTCAGTCTCACACCTTCTAACTCTAGGGAACAACTTTCATTTATAGCTTTTATCTCTCTTGAGGGCAAGGATTATGGTTCATTTGTCTGAAGATGTCTAATATCTAGCATAATAGTCTGTTAATATACAGAAAAAAGAGCACACAAATATGTTAGTTGAGATGACTTAACTTGACTTTTCTAACATCCAAGCAACCTTGAACCATCACTGCATATCTCTAGGTAATAATTTCTTTATTATGACTAAAATGTTTAAAATATAACATATAATAAAACCCACTTATTAAATGGTATTAATACTGCAACCAAGTTTGTAATTTTATTTTCATCAATCTTTTGATATTGTCTTCCAATTGTTTGGTTAAGACTAAAATGATTAAAGGGTGCCCTCTTCTGTTTTGTGACCATAATGGTGTTATGTATTTCTGTCTACAAATTCAGAGGTACAAGAAAAAAATTACTCTTTATTTTTAGGTTTCCTAAGGCAACTAAGTTTTAACTTTGCTTATGGAAAATGTAAACATAGGTATTGGGCTTTCCCCTAACCCTTGCCACCTGTGTTGCAACAGGTTAGCCAGAGTTCTAGAGCAGTGGTTCTCAAAGAAGGTGTTCCTCCTCCCCAATGGGAGATGTTTGGAAATGTCTAGAGATAGTTTTGGTTGTTACATCTTGGGAATGGTCCTACTGCAGATGGTGGGTACAGATCAGGATCATGCTAAATATTCCACAGTATTCAAGATAGCCTCTTACAACCAGAATGATTCAGAGCAAGATGTCGATAGTGCCGAGGTTGTGAAACTTTTCTAGAGCCTTAGGCCATGTTCAGGCAGCTGAGAGACTGCCAATCATTTGTCACTTTCCCACACTGGCTAGTGATGAGATGCCCACTGTGCTAGCCCATGGAGCTCTTCAGGGTTTCCTACTCGCTATTCCCATGTAAAGTTTGTGGCACAGGATCCTGGTGAGACTTGAAACTGGTTGGGTTTGATAGATGGCATTTTTCTCTGAAGTCTGCAATGTTCATGGAATGCATAGCTGCCTTTCTCATTTTCCAAGTCTATGAATTTGAAGCCTGTGAAAAATCTCTCTGTTCAGAATCTATTGTCTCTAATTTCCATAGACTTAAAATAAAAGTCCAGGAACCACCTCAAATTTTCCCTTAAGCAAGGAATTATTAAATCAACACATACTAAAGGCAGAAAGCAAAAGATTAAACATTAATTCATAGCTCAAAAATGTTTCCATGACCTTCCTGTGACATTGATACCAAAGCTTATCTTACCTAATAATAGACAAACATGTAAATTGACCGTACCTTCGCTACACTAACCAGTCTATCAGGAGAGTATGCAAATTAACCCAACAAATATGGCGATTAATTTGCATAAGTAGGCTCCAAGTGGAAGAGTGAAGCCTGACGGCCCCAGGGCCGGAGCAGCGAAGCCTGACAGCTCTGGGGCCAGCTCTTGCCAGAGCCCGGCCAGAGTGAAGGCCTGGGTTCTGGGTGCCAGAGGCAAATCGGTGCCAGCAGCCAAGGGAAGGGAAGGCCTATTGCCTGAATTTCTTCGTGCAACAGGACTCTAGTTGTCTATAAAATCTTTTATTTCTTCATTCAGTTAGGAAATTTTATTGAGCACATAGTATCGGCTGTCTCAGGTACTAAGAGTGATAAACAAGACAGATAACATCTGCTCTTTCTATTATTATTTGTCTTCAGTCCTGAAGGAGTTAATGTATTGTCCTATAAATGATTAGAGTGCTCCTATCCTTTCCTTAGTTCCCACTTAATTTAAACTGTAATATTGTATATTTCACATTTTATTTTTCAATGCCATCCAGCTGCTTGCTGTCCAGAAGGCATAATCCTGCCAGCAAGTATTTTGAACACTCCCCGATTGATTTTGCTCATGAAAAGAAGAGGTCACTTGTGGTGGCTTAGCAGGAAGACTATGAGTGGTTTAAAGACAAAGAAAAGCACAAAAGTATGTGGGCATCAACGGGAGCCTTTTCTCTCTCTGCAGTCTCACCAGCAGAAATGGCACTTGTGACTTCTAGCAGCAGTTTTTCTTAGTTCCTGTTAAGTAACTTTATTTTGGTGTTGAATAAAATATTGGAACCAATGATGAAGTTATAGATCTCTACATTGTAGAGTGTCATCCAAGTAATAAACAAGAGATATTTATAAGAAACAGGTCACAGTAGGGACACCAGACAGCCTTCCGCTGCAAAACACGACTCAAGAAAGGGAATTTGCTCAACGGAACGCATTCAGATGTTACAGGGGCTGGTGATGTGTCAAGAAGGGGAATTGCAAAGATCATTTCTCAAGCATATTGTGGGAAGAATACACAGAAATGGCAAATAAGAAATACGTGATTGTGTAGAAGTTCCATAGTGGTGAACTCATGTTCTTAATACCTAAGAGGAGAGAGTATATTGCCCTATGATTTTAGCTGCATTTAGTTGCAGCAAAGAAGGACTACATATAGAGATCAACAAATAGATAACAATTACTTAGCATATTGGAGGCCTTGGTAAAAGGGGGGGTGTTAATAGCCCATTGGAGTAAGTTGAAATAAATGCAGAGAGACAGATGATGCTGACTGCAAGTGTTAGAGAACAAAGAACGGGCTAGTTAAAGATCCATGAGATAAGAAAGAATCTCGGGCCCTTAGTGGTTATGAAATTGAGAGTGTTGTGCTCCACTATGTGAGATAATCGCTTTGTTCCCATCTTGGGGGAAGGAAACCGCTCGCAGCCCTGAAAATAAAGAGCCCGTGGCCAGTGCGAGTTCCGAGGGACGCCAGAGCTGGTCTCAGGAGGCATTTGTGCCTCTTGCCAAGTCTTTAGCAGTTGGGGATATAAAAGGCCTTCCACAATGCTTTTGGTAGTTTTTCATGAAACATAATTGTTTGTATTCTAGTTTTCTCACCAGGACTTTGTAGCAAGAGTCATAGTTTAATGCTGAGACTGTGTAAACTAAGACAAATAGTAAGTTAATTCTTGTTAACTACTTACACTTGTTTTTGCAATAAGGACTGATTTCTTACATTATTTCCCTTTTGAGACTAAGGCAGTGGTCGGCAAACTGTGGCTCGCAAGCCACATGCGGCTCTTTGGCCCCTTGAGTGTGGCTCTTCCACAAAATACCGACTTCTGCGCATGGGCCACGAAGTTTCAATCGCACTGTATGTGTGCGCCCGCACGTGGTATTTTGTGGAAGAGCCACACTCAAGGGGCCAAAGAGCTGCATGTGGCTCGCGAGCCACAGTTTCCCAACCACTGGATTAAGGGAATAAAAACCTTGAACTAGAAAAAAAGAAAAACACAGTACAAAACAAAAATATTTTACTTTGGAATACAGAAGGTGGAAGCACAGTGAAGGTACAGTTAGAACAAGTATTTGTTGTTGCTGTTGGTGAGTGTTGTTTTGCTCATATCCAACTGTCTTTTTGGCTATCACTGATAATTTTGCTCCATTTATTCAGAAGCATGTATGTGCTAGGTTTTGGTGATATGACATAATATAAACAGCAATATAATAAAGTATGATTAGCAATATGATAGTGAAAGGAGAGGGAATAAGGGAAGGAGTGGCAGAGGAGCCCAGCCCGGCATAGGAGTTCCTGAGCAAGACACCTCTGAAGAGAGATGCTTAAGCTAAAATGTAAAAAAAGGAATGGAAGGAGGTTAACTATTGGGACTAGATACTGAAATTCATGTTAAATTATTTATTAAGGTCTTAGAAAATTTAATCTCTCACTAACTTTAGTGGCATGTTGAGGTTGTATGGCTTTCATGATAATGAATCCAGTCACCTTTAAACAACTTGATTTGTGATAACCACATACCAGGTTAGCCAAATTGCTACTCACTCAGAGAAAAGCTTCCTTCTGATCAGTTTTACATCCTTTTTCTTTCAAAATATATTAGAATATAAAGCTGAAAGCCACAAATGAACCAACAGGACAAACAAAAACTCACAGACACAGACAATAGTACAGTGGTGTCCAGAGGGAAAAGGAGGTAGGGAGTTTGGGTAGTAAAGGGGGGAAGGGGACCTAATACATGGTAATAAAAGGAGATTGGACTTTGGGTGGTAAACACACAAGGCGATATACAGATGATGTATTGTAGAATTGTACACTTGAAATCTATATAATTTTATTAACCAATGTTCCCCCAATAAATTTAATTTAAAAATGAATTTGGATGTAATCATGCACCACTCATTTAAACATTTTAAAGTGTGAAATTCAGTGTTTTTTACTATATTCACAAGATTGTGTAACCATTACCACCATCTAATTCCAGAACATTATTATCAACCAAGGAGAAACCACATACCCATTAGCAGTCCTGCCTACACCCTCCTCACCCACTCCTTCCTTTAGGAACTATTATCTATAGATTTGCCTATTCTAGACATATCATATAAATGAAATCATATAATATGTAGTCTTTTGTAATTGACTTCTTTCTCTTACTGTAATATTTTCAAGGTTCACCCATGTTCCATGTAACAGCATGTATCAGTATTTCATTCCTTTTCACTGCCAAATCATATCCTATTAAATGAATTTACTACATTTTGTTTATCCATTTATCAGTAGATATCTGTTTGACTTGTTTCCACATTTTGCCTATTATGATTGGTGCTGCTGTGAACATTTGTTTACAAGTGTTTGGCAGATATATGTTTTCATTTCTCTTGGGTATTTTCCTAGGAGTGGAATTGCTGGGGCATATTGGTCCCCGTGCTTCCTTTCTGAGGTACTGCAAGACTGCTTTCCATTTTGCATTCCCATCAGCGATGTTTTGCTCTCTGTTCACAGACCCCAGAGGAACTAGAGGATGTTTCTGACCTGGAAGAGGATCATGAGGTCCGCAGCCACACCAGCCTTCAGACCGAAGGAAAAACGGACCGGGTATGTCACCTCTTTGGGGGGAGATGTGTGTACTGTGCCCTTTCCCGGTCAATTGAGGCAGCCTGTCCCGGCTGGGACTCCTGGATCTGGAGATTCTTTTGCAAAGTCGGGGAGAAGAGCCTCCGCATGCAGGAGAGGCAGCATGCGGGAATGATTTCCTCCCCCTTGAGAGCACACGGGGAGGCTGTGTCTGGTCAGGTAGTGAATCACCTGATAACACTCTTGATCTTTATAGCAGTCATGGGAACATAAAAGTGAGATGTGTACATGTTTGTTTGTAGTAGAAAGGAGGAACTAAGAAGTTGTAAATATACTCTGAAATCTGGGTGGGGGAGGAAACACTTCTGAGGCAATTCTCTACATTTCTTTCTCTCTGCAATGCCCTTTTCATCCCCTACCCTTAACACACACACACACACACACACACACACACACACACACACACACACACACCCTCCAAAGATGTTAATCACTTTCTCAATTGCTCTGAGACGCTGTATTTCACTTTACACCCACTGCTTGCGAATTTGTGAAAGTCTGGTTTCCCAGACACTGACAGCTTACAACTGTAGACCAGACTACAGAACTTGGGTCGGAGAGCCAGGCAGGATAGCACAGTGGCTAAGTCTGCTGGGACCACATCGAATCAGCCACGTCCTTTCTGTGTTATTTGGGAAACTCACTTAGCTTTTCTCTACCTCCATTCTCTTATTTGTAAAGTGAGGATAATTACAATACTCTATATAAGGATTATTGTGGGAATTAACTAAGTTAGTTAACAGAACATTTAACATATGCCTAGCTCACAGTCAGTTCTCAGTGATCAGTTACTATTCCTTATAGTAGCTATAGCAATAGTATAATTATCATCATTTTCATTATTACTACTAGTTAATAGGTGACCTAAAGTTTGGAGATGGATGGAAAGAGAGAAATTTAGTTAAGTTACATATTTTCAAATCTTCAGATAACTTAGGACTGGTATATGTGTCATGACACTTTCGTTTTATTAGAAATGTTGCTTTTCTTGAGTTTCCATTTCTTCATGTTAGGAACTGTCCGGGGTGACACAGCATCTGAAGACAGTTTTCTTCAGATCTAGTAGGCATTCTTGGTAAGAGATCAAACACTACAAATGGTAGTGGAATTGCAAATAAATTTTGCTAATGGTAAAATTTGCTCATGCTTTCAGTGATATGAGTGAGTGGTTCACTTGGGCTGCTGCTGACAACTGGAAGTGGCAGGCAGGTGTTAGGACTTACAAAGGAATTGACAGGAGGAAATTTTGTTAAAATACAGGCAACTTTTAGGATGATGGGATTAGGACAAAACATGACTTGATTCTCTTTCTGCCTGATGACATGAAGACAAGGAATCTTGGTTAAAACCCTCCAAATTCAAAAAGTTTAAAATCCCTTCTCTGAAAAATAAGGAGAATAATATCATACCTTCTCATAGAATCACTGGTAACACCAAAGACGATACTGCATATAATGTTTATAAAGTTTTATAAACTATAAAATGATATGCTAAGATAAGATTCTTATTACTACCATTTTTATTTGTGTTTTTATTCTTGAGTGGGATGATGGGCCAGATAGATGACCTCCTGGCCACTGTAGGTCATGGCATAGATGGTATTTGTGGTCCTGGATCTTAAACCATCTTCCATAGAGGCCACCGTCTCTAATCTTGTGGAAATCACCTTGAAACCGCTCGGAATCCAAGATTTGTGTTCCACTAAGCACATTCCCCTGATGATCCAGTTCATTTTGAATGATCCTGGGTGACAGCCTCACCTCAGTCTAGTGACAAGATAGATCTCTGACCATCAACTGGGAGTGACATTATATTCAACCTGGCCGCCTACTGCTGTCGTAAATCTCCCTTGCATATGTTTCAAATGGCTTAGATGTTATTCACCTCCTGCCTTGAGGCTTCCCTGCAATTGCTATGAGGAAACCCCCAGGAAGCTGCTCAGATATTCTAATTCATACACAAGCTTATGTGAGTCACTAACACCCCACAGAGCAAACCTTGAGCAGTATTCTTTCATTCCTTGGATGGACCTTTTTGAAATTCGTTTTCTACAGATATTCAAGAGTTTCGCTGGGGGATCAAGCCCCAATTCCTACAGCATTGACCAGGTTGTTAAGACAACTTGCAGTGGTCTTTATTTCCTGATTCATCCTTCCCAGTCTCCCAGTTCTACTATCTAAGATCTATTCAAAAAATAAACTACATTTCATTCTAAGTCTCTGCTTTTGGAGAAAGACAAGAAAAGGTAGTCTCTTCACATATACTGTTCATTTAATCATCACATTCATTCTGTTGTATTGCTATTATTTTCCTAGTTTTACTAACAAGATCACTGAGGCTGAGATCTATATAACTTACCTAGTAAGTGGATTATGTCTTCAGACTAAGAACTTTGTTGATTGCTACATATCAGTTCACTTAGGTCATAGAGTTAATAGAATGAATCTTTTACTAAAAATCAAAAAAAAAAAAAAAAAAGTAATGATCATTACAACAAATGTGATACATCATTGATGGAATGAAAGAGAACAAAATGAAGGATGCCACAGTGGTCTGAAAAAGGGAGGTGGGATTTAAATTTAAGAAGCAATTATTGTATAGTATGAGTAATTTAACACAATAACATCCTTGAATATATATGTTGTGAGTTTATTACAACAGATTCCATTCTCATACCTGAATTTTATGAGATAGCTGGCTAAGAAGGATAGCTCAAATTTGTCTCCCACCAGATCACCTGACTAGAACCAAGATCATGTTTAGGCAGGTTTTATGATTTCTCCCAGGCATCTTCTATAGTCCTATATTTCTTATCATTACATATCTGTGCCTAGGATATATTCATATGTTTAGTATTACGGCCATTAAAGACTTTGGGTTTGTATTCTATCCAGCATTTTTAAAGTTTTCATTCATTGGTCTGAGTGTACTATTGATACATTTGCCAGGTACCAACAAATTGAGAAGATACCAAAAAAATTATGAAATAGAATCTGTTGAGAATTATTTGAGTACATGTGCCATGATCATTGAGGAATTCTTGGTCACTGCACAAGACAAGTGTTTGGGTTCTTTTTGTTTGCTTATATTACTAAGGCCTTTTTGGTTCTAGTATTATAGAAACTGACATATCAAATATGCACTAGAACCAATTTTAGAAACTGTTTAGTAATGGAGTGACAGTTATTTATTATCATTTTACTTTCTGCATTTCACTCCCAGTAGCTTTGGCTCAGCATCATCTGTTATTGCTGTCATCAGTTGAAAATGCCACTGGGCACTGTAAAGGTCTAAAACCAACAAATAATGGCTTAGAGTCCGCAGTCAATGAGAGGGAAATACTAAAGGACCAATCGTGCATGCCTTATGAAGTGGCAGAGGAACAGCAGTAGAAATTAGTGATTATCTTAATTATCAAACATGAATACTTACTGGACCAATGCAGTGGTTATATCCAGTGATCAGGCACTCCACAGTGAATACAATACAGGAGTATGAGTTTGCTACATGTTTAGAAATCATTCTTCAAAGAGCTCATTATTTGTTTGTTTTCATGCTCTAAGCAAAGAAAAAAAATAGATATATTTTCTATTAAAAACTTAAATTTGAAAGAGATTAGAAAATAAACTCATATTAAAATAATCAAAGTCCTAAAACTATTGATAAAAGTTCTTTGTAAATCCTAAAAGCTTCCTAAAAGATTATATTAATCACATGTTAAGTGATATTTTCTATTTGAACAGAGAAAAGCCGGTTATCCTTTAATACTTTAAAGTTTACAGAATAAATTTAAATTGATGTCTTATTTAAGTAAAATTCTGGGTTTGGTTTTTAATTTTTTGTTCTTTATTTTATTAATTAGTCTCAAGATTTCAGTGGTTTAGGTAAGTCAGGTTGGCTGGGACCGTATTCCAGGTCTTCTGGCACCAACCACACTTTTTCCAGTATAGCACACTTATAAACTTGGGTATAATCTCATCATCCCTTAAGATCTCATTGCCCAATTCTTGCTACAGTCAATATTATAATTCTTCTACTATAAAGGAGACTTGTAAAGCTAAAAACCATAAACCTTAGTATCAGATCTATTTAAGTCTTACAAATTTCTAATACTTCCAGTAACAAAATCAGTTTATTGATTATTATTGACCTGAAAGTATTGCGGGTGAATGACTTTGCCTTGATAAAATGGAGTAACAACCGTCAAGTAGTCATCCAGCAGAAGACCTTATAGGGTAATGATCTGAGGTCTGCAAGCATAGAATCCAGAAGATAGAGGAAGTTACTCCTCAGCCAATCTCTTGTCTCATCAGCTTCTCTGATATTTCATTACAGGGAATGTTCCTAACTTCTAGAAATGTTTACTAGTTTATTGTTTGCAATAGGGACAACAGTAGCAGTAGTCACATAAATAATGTAAAAATGAAGTAGTGATCACAAAAAGCAACTCTTGATAGTGGGATAAAACAGAAAATCTGATGAGATTATTGTTCTCTCTTTTCTTTATTATTGAAAGCCTGGCTGGACAATGGGAGGTTTTTTGGTGATTCATTAGTTTCTGTCTTGAGTCCTCAGTTACCTTCATCAATTATATTTGACTTAATTGCCTAGGTTTATGATACATACTCATAAAAAGGGGAAAAAGGCATTCTGGCCCACCTGGTGTGGCTCAGTTATTGTACTTCGATCTGTGAACCAAGAGGTCTCTGGTTGATTCCTGGTCAGGGCACATGCCCAAGTTGCAGGATCCCCAGTAGGGGGTGTACAGGAGGTAACCAATCAATGATATTTATCTCTCATCAATGTTTCTATCTCTGTAGCCCTCTAAAATCAATAAAAATGTGTATTTTTAAAAAATAAGGGCATTCTGTTATTTATAGGATACATGTGAAGACAGTTTTGCAAGTAGTCATTTAAAATCACTCTATCCTTCTCTAACCCTGTCCATGAAGAATATATTC